CGCAATGCAGCAGGTGTCTGATCGGGCACCGCCCTCAGAGGCAGGGTGCTGGTAGGTGACAGGCCACAGTCTTGGTTTCAATCCTGGTTTGTGCTCACTAGCTGGGGTGACTTCCCCAAGTGACCCTGTCTGTAAACTGTGGTGTCAGCCCCCACCCGCTGAGGTGAGCAGCCAGGGTACATGGGAAGTGCGTAGAGAAGGTGGCAAGGTGCCTGCACATAGTAGGTGCTCAATAAATGGGGCCTTTTATCACCCCTTTCTTCCAATGGTTCAGAAACAGCGCCCAGGCGGGTGTTCTAGGCCGCCTGTCTTACCCGAATTCTGCTGGACCACCCAGGGGGCTGGGGCTCTGGGGCCTGAGACAAACAAAACTGCCACCCCCGCCCGAGGGCCAGCCCACAGCCTCCCTCCACCCAGGATGGGAAGCGCCCGTACTGTGCCAGGGCAGCCTGGCTCTGCTGGTCCCGTGTCTCTGGGTCCAGGACGCAGTGAGCAATCAGCAAACATCTGCTGAGCGGACCAGGGGCCCCCCTGCCCCAGAGCTGCCCGGTCCCGCCCTGCAATGACAGGGGTCAGCCCCCCAACCCTCTAATTGGTCTTGCTCTGTGAGTGACAGGAGGCGGCACTCCAACCACTGATCAGCCGGCTCTGTGTGCAACAGGGGGAGGCGCCACATCCCCCCCCATTCCCCCCCCCCCCGGCCCCGCCCCCCCCCCGGCCCCGCCCCGCCCCAGGCCCGCTCCAGGCCCTGCCCTCCGCCCCACGCACCTCTGGCTCCCGCTGGAAGATGACCACCCGGCCACCCTTGTCGCCCGTGGCCAGCAGCTCTCCCGTGTGGTTGAACTCGACAGTGGAGATGACATCGGCTGGGGGGGCGGGGAGACAGGAAGGCGAGGCTCATTAGGACCCAGTCCCTCGCTGTTCAACTCAACTGGGCCCACCTCCACCCCACCCAGAGGCCCTGCACCCCCAAGTGGGGCCCCACCAGGCAGCAGGAGCCTGAGGGGTGGGGAGGCACCTGCCCCCTCCTCCCCGCTGGCCGCTGGGCAGAGACCTGTTCACTCCGGCTCCTTCCGGCCTCCTGTCTCCTTGCCTCCTGCCTCCTGCCTCCTGCTCCTCCCAGAAGCAGTTTGAGGGTTCCCTCCTGTGCCGGCCAGGTGACTGGGATGCAAACCTGACACTCACTAGCCCAATTCTGGGGGCCACTGAGACCAACTATACCCCTTCGCGCCCCCCACTGAGCCCCCCTGGATGGGCCCCTGTGACTCTCACATTCCTGGTGGGGACTCGTAGGCACTGTGGATCTACTTTCAACAACCGCAGATCAGACCCCGCCTCCCGGGCCCCACCCTCCACTCTGTTCCCCGACAGCATCCCGGGTGATGGGCCACCTGAGTCATGGTGTGTCTCTGCTCAAAACCCTCCACTGGTCCCCAAACCGAATCCTGATCTCATCCCTCCAACCTCCCTCCTCTGCGCAGCCCCCACTCTCGGTGATGGCAGCTCCGTCCTCTGCTGGCCGGGCCTGACTCTCCACCTCGTGACCTCCGTCCTCTCTCCCCCTCATCCCACTGGCTCAGTCTTCATGCCCAATTCCACCCCCTTCTCTGCCTGTCCCCTGTGCAGGCCTACAGCAGCCTCCCAGGGCTCCCCTGGCCTGCCCTGCCCGGCCGGGCTACCCTCAGCAGGGAGGGCAGCGAGAGGAGCCCGCACCACAGCCTCCAACGACCCCATCATGTCAGAGGAAAGCTAAGGTCTCGGAGCCTGAAGCCGTTTGTGAGCTGCGGTCCCCCAGGCAGCCCACATCAGGAGCCCAATCTCCCCCCTCCTCCCCTGCACGGGAACCCAGCACTGCTGCCCCCACCCTGAGCCTGGGCTGGGCCCTGTGGTTTGCTTGGGCCTGCGGGACGCCAGCAGACAGGCCACCAAGCTGGGCCTGGGCCACTGCCCGGAGAAGGGCCTGCCCAGATGGCCCGAGCCCATCGGTCCCGGCCGGGGGTGGGGGGATGGGGAGGCAGGGCAGGAGGAGGAGGACAGGGGACGAGTGTGCAAGCCCCAGCCAAGCGCCCAGGCAGGGCCCCAGCCCAACAAGCCCCGATCAGCAGAATCAGCAGATGCATGAGGGCAAATAGTCAGTGTTGGAGGCCGGGGAGCGCCCTGTTTTTAACTCCCCTCCCGGTAACGGACGCCCTCTCTCCCAGCCTCATCTCCCTCCACCCCCGACTCTTGACAGCTCCGCTCTCTCTTGTCTCCACAGCTGCTCTCAGCCTGGAGGGCTTTCCCCGCTATCAGTCAATAAACTAGCTTCTCTTGTCCAGTGGCCGTAGGAGGCCCCGAGGTGCAGGTAACGCCCGCTTTGGCGGGAAAGAAACCTATGAACCAGGAGGTCATAGGAGCAGATGTCGCCGAACGGATGCATCGGTCAAGAGGAACGCACCCTGCACTCAACTTACACAGACAACACAGGGAGCGGCTCCTGGGAAGCACGCACTGAGGTGGGAGCGGGGTGCGGTCAGGCCCCGGTGCTGGCACTGTCCCCTTCCCCACCCCCACCCCACCCCCGTGGGGAAGCCGGCCTCGCCCAGGGACACAGAGAGCCACACGCAGGGCCACAGCCCAGCAGCACTGGGTCCCCGACATGGCACTGATTCTTGCTGCTTCCTATCAGCACCCCTAAGGGGGAAAGAGCTGGGTGTCAAGTTGTGTATAAAACGCTCTTCATTATATAGACCAGTGGTCACAGCCACGCCAAACAGCACACACACCGGCAGAGACAGCTGGCGCAGATTTCCATCCTGTCAGCAGAGGCGCCTTAGGTGATTGGATTAAGATATTTTTAATTCTCTTCCTTTAATTCCCTTCTCTCCCTACTTCTCTGTCTCCTAGATTTTCTGTAATGAAGACATATTTTAATAGCTCTACTGAGGTACAATGGATACATAAAAACTCATGTATTTTACATATATGGTGTGATGAGTGTGGACATATGCATAATTTATATTATGTTTATGATGGAGAAATAACCATGCTATGAAGTTAAAGTGGCAGTGTAACCAAGGGTACCCAGAGCCAACGTGGTCCATAAATGCTGGGCGGTTACCAAGGTAACGGACACTAAACGTCTGCAGACAATTTACAACATGTACGTCAGCTTCATATCCGCCACCCCTGTGCCCCCGGCCTGCAGGAGGTGTGACTGTGAGTCCTGCTGGCAGACTCCTGCGCCGTTCCTGGGCCAGGCGGCCGTCCTGGCCTGGACCTGGGCTCCAGGGCCGTGGCTGCGCGGCCCTGGGCTGTCACACCCCTTCTTGAGGCTCAGTGGTGCCGTCTGAGCAGGGGGACAGTTGCAAGTGCCCAGGATGAGGAGCTCCAGGGGATGATGGAGGTGAGGGGTTTGGGAGGAAGAACCGCGGAGGGTGGTGGTGGTTTGTTCCGCGGCGGTGCTGGCTGAGGAAGGGAGCAGGCACATCACAGCACCTGCCATGCACAGCACGGCCACCCCACCCTGCTCTGCCGGGGGGCTGCTCCCCTGCGTTAGAGGTGGGAAGGCTGCACACCCCTCTGCCCCCACGCACGAGGTGCCTCGCGGACGCTGCGCTGACCACAGCGCCACCTTCATGGGCCACCAGGCAGCTCTGATCACCATTCAGGTCTCCGCTGCCCCGGGGGAGCCGCCAAGTCCCCCACACCAGCATCTATTCCTTTGTTTGTATCACAGCATCTCCTGTGGGGCCTGGGACAGCCTTGGGGATGGGGACAGCGTGAGGCCGGGAGAGGGCAGGCCTGACCCCGCAGACTCCGGCCCAGGCCCAGCAGCACCATCTGCAGGGAGTGTGGCCCGAGGCCGTTTCCTCGCCTGTAAATTAGGTCTCGTGCGGACTGTGGTGAGGACAGGGCTGCATGCAGGACAGGATGCTCCAATGGGGCTCCCCGAACCCCAGCTCCCACAGAGGCACCCTCAGGCGGGGTCAGGACAGCATGGGGAGGAGCCCAGAGAACCGGGACTGTGGGACGTGCTGGACCAGGACAAGGCATAGTAACAGCCGACCCTGGGTCCTCCCTGGACACGTTACAGCGCGGCCTCAGCAGGTTTCAGCATCTTTCCTGTGTGATGCGGCCTCCCCACTGTCTAATGCTACCTGTTCCCGTCACCCCAAGAAACCCTGTGCCCCAGCGGTCACTGCCCCTCCCGGCCACCGCGGACGTGCCTGTCCTGGACGTTTCACGTGGTGGGAATCCTACGACCTGTGGCCTGTGCCGGGCTCTCCCTCGGCCTCAGGCTCTCAGGTTCGCTGGCTGGAGCGATGGTCAGCATCTCCGTCCTTTGGGGTCGCATGCTTTTACAGACTGCCCCGCTCCCTTCAGGCAGAAACCCAGGCCCCAGAAGAGGGGGGGCGGGGGAGGGAGCCTGGGAATGGCCCTGGAATCCTGACCACGCTTGGCCCACATCTGCCAGCGGAGGGGCCAGAGCAAGTGGGGGCCAGCGCTGCCCCTCGGTGGGTGCCTCAGGGCCAGGGCTGGGGCTGCCAGCTCCTCCCTGCCAGGCCAGACGGCCCCTGCAGAGTGGCCTGGCGGGCACAGAGGCAGATAGGCCTGGGGACAGGGGACCGGGCAGCTGGGGGTCTGCCTGTGGTCAGCAGGACCCCGTCAGGCTGCGGGCCTGTTTCTAGGCCAGGTCAGATGGTGCTCACAGCAGCAGTGACACCCAGATGGGCTCCAGCACAGCCCTCCAGGCGCCACCCCTCACTCAGACCCCTGGTGGTCAGGTAGCCCTCCAGGTGGTCAGGTGGCCCGAGGCCAGATCTACAAGGCCCGGCAGGGGACCGAGGAGCCCACCTGCTCCCGCCTCTCCTTGCAGCACAAGCTCCTGAAAGCCCCGAGGCAGCGTCGCCCGGCCTCTCTCCTGCAGACGGAGGTCCCAGGGCCCCGCCCCGGCCCCGGATCAGAATCACTGGTGCCTGGAACCTGCATTTGACAAGTTCCCCGGGCGCTGAGGTCTGAGAGCCACTGGGAAGCGCTGACCAGGCTGTGACGGGAGACCCCCCTTTAAAAGCCCCCCGATTCTCAGCAGGTTACAGACGTGCCTGAGCCTGCTCGCCGGTCCCTAAAGGGATGTGAAGATTTCATGAGGCAACAGATGTCTAAGTGCCCGGCAACGAACACCTGCCTGGAAAGTGTTAGCTGCGGTCAGTACCAGGTTAGTCTCATGATGCACCCAAACCAAGTCCCAGAACCGCGGGATACGGAGAGGAGGGGGGAGGGCAGGAATCACTAAGGAGACGAAGACAGAGAGGGGCTGGGATGTGGGGAACTTGCATCCGGGTCCTGACTCCGAATCCCACCCTCTCCTGCTCTCATTCCCCCACCCCTACCCCTGAGCCTCAGTTTCTCTCCGTGTGTGATGGCGACAGGAACTGCCCGGCTGGAGGGCTCTGCCAACTGTCAAGCGCTACCCCGTGCCAGCATGAGGAGCCGCCGTGGGGAGGGACGTGGGGCCTGGTGCTGGCCTGA